CCCGCCGAAGTGCCCCGGGGGGCGCGGGCCGGGGTCCCAGGGGCGGCGGTGCTCAGCCTGTGTGGCCGGGGCGCCGCGGCGCTCGCGGGCAGCCCGGTGCTGAGGGCTGTCACCGGCGCGGAGCCCGGTGCCGTCCCGCGGCAGCGCGGCGCGGTCGTGGCTGAGGTTGGGCCTGTGGGTCTGACAGCGGACCCCGTATTGCCGCCTGTGGCCGGCGCGGCGGGTTTTATCTGCGCTCTGACGGCAGCCCGGCTAAGCCAAGCACTCATTTGCTTGTGTTTACAGGTGCATTCAACCAAAAGAGCGGATCCTGCTGAACTACGAAATATTTTTTTGCAGGTAAAAAGATCTAATGTTGTTTGAGTGTCAGACTTCTGTGTTTTGCCCTTTTAGCGGTTTGCCATGGCATCAAATTCGTGTGGTGCTGGTGGGACACTTAGAAGTTCACTTTGCAGTGTATTGATGGGGGTGTCAGGCATTGAGAAGCTGCTGCTGGCACAAAGTGTGATAACCATTTCCAAATTATAATGTTAAATAAGTTCCTGAACTATTTTCTGATTTTCTGCAAAACAAACAATTATAACGAAATACTGGTTTGGAGTGTGATAACCATTTCCAAATTATAATGTTAAATAAGTTCCTGAACTATTTTCTGCAAAACAAATAATTATAACGTTGTACTGGTTTGGTTTTTTTTTTTTTTAAATACACCTTTAAAGAATCAAAAAAAAATTCCTCTTCCATGACTGTATGCTTTATCCTTGGGATTTGTATGTGTTCGTACAAATGGTTGGACCATTGGCAGTGTTTTTAGAACTTAAAGTTGATTTCTCAAGATTTTTACATTTTCCTTGCAGGGCCTTAGAATTAGCATATATAAATAATAGTACGAAGGTTTCTCCTCTCCCTTAGTTTCAGTAAAGCATGATCAGAAAGAAAAATCCAGTCAATCCTAAAACTTTATTGATAAGGTTTGCATGAGTAATATGGAATAATAAGAAGAACAAGAACTGTGTTTTAGGTCCATAATAGGGCCACCAGTATTTCAAAATGACTAAAATATGTTTTTTTCCCCTAATGTTGAGTGTTACACAGTATATTCGTGAAGATTTTCTCTATTTAATAAAACAGGAATATAAAATTAGAGCTAATACTGTAACTAAAAAGTCTGTTATTTAACTATTTATCTGTATCTTCTGATTCTACTATACCATCTAGCAATTTCCATATATAAGTAGAGAGAGCTTTTTGCCTTTTATCCCAGTCAATTTTTGTGGCCTTTTCTTTTGCATACACTATGACATTGCTGGAGTGCAAACACTTGGAATGCTGGCATCAAACTGTGGAAGCTCAACATTTAGTTTCTAGTAAAAGATACTCCAACACAGGCTCATTTTTGATTGACATGGCACTCAGCTTTTGTAGATAAACATTACACTAGAGTATGTTAATAAAATTAGCAATATAAAAATATTATATTTTAAAAGATATATTAATACAGTATAAAAATGTGATTCTAGAACATCTTTTTCCAACATTTGAATGAAAAAAAAGTGAAATGAGGTGTCAAAACACTATTCATTTGTAAATGTGAGGTCTTTATGTTTCTTGACATCCAGTCAGTAGAAGTTCTTGTGTCTGGAAATAAGCAATTAAAGTTCTTGAAGTGGTCGTACAGACAACAGTAGAGAGAAAGAACATTGTACCACTGGCTGTTGAAATTTTCTTCCTGACAGTACATGTTCTATTGACCTAAAAAGCAGACAGTGAGTTTAAAAAAATGGCTTTTTGCTCTTCCCCATGTCTGTCTTGTTTTCTTTAAAGAAACATGCAAATGAAGTTGTGGATTGTTTGGTACTCTGAGGAATGAAAAATATGAAGCTCTCCTCTCTCTCTCTGAGTATCTGAGATTTTGCAGTAAAAAAAAAGCGTAGAAAAAAGAGTTTGTATTTCTTCTGCGTTCTGTTGAGTTTGAAATTGTGGGTTTTTTGATGCTTAGAAATCGAACTTAGTTGCAGACTTTAAAACAAAAGAGAATCATTCTTTTGAAGACTAAGTTACAGAAAGTCTTCTTATGAAATATTGCAAGTGTTAGGGGTCAGATATGTTGTACTCCTTGCTGAGAGTGCTGGTCTCTTCTGTGAACTTCAGCTAAAGGTCGTGCATTCCTTCCTAAATTTGGCTTCCCTTGGAAATGGTTAGAAGGGAAGATGTGAGCTCTAGGCCTCATCACCATCCACCTTAATCATAGAGAGTCTACTTAAATTTCCTTCTGTTCATGTCTTCTAAGGTGATACGTGCCATCTTGCCATGCAGCTTACATTGTATCCTAAAGGATAGTTAATACATACCTTTCTCTTCAGAATTTCTGAAGTGTGCTATCTGCTTCTTCTAACTGTTTTAAACTGTTAAAAAGATAAAGTTTGATTTGCATTAAAAAGATGTGCTATTTCTCTTAAGCCTGTAACTAAGAAATGCAGGCATTGAAATTTCATGTCTGTGCACCATCAAATAAGTTACCTCTTAGGTGTTTGCTAACCACAGACTTTAGTAACAACCATAAAAGAACAAATTTTCTAACAAATTATCACAGAAGGATAAAAGAGTTGGGTGGAAAAACAGTTACCAGATTTCTTAGTGAAACTTCATTATTTTTCTTAGACAACAAGTCAGCCTTTGGAAAATACTGTTGGATTATTCCCTGCCTGTTGAATTAAAGTGTAACCTGTTCAGGCAAGGTGGAGAAGGAAACAAAAAGAGATTTCCAAAGCATTGGTTCTGAAAGTGTAGTGATATATAGCACCAGCTTGTAAACTAGAGTAGGGGGTTTGTATGTTTGTCTTATGTGAGGATGTTTAAAAAAAAGTATCGTGGAAATTCATCAGTTGCTTACCTGAGGCAATCTACAAATGTATACTAAGAGGTTTGTGTTATAAAGTAACAGAGCTCAAGACTGAGAAAAACAAGGATTTAATTGATGTGTTATGTTTTATATTCAAATTAGACTATAATTTAAAATTGCCTGTTTTGGGCTAAATGATTCTTGACTTAAGTTATATGGTGCAAACATAGGACTAATATATTCACATGTTTGGCTACTTTGTCAGGCCTTAATTTATTGACTTTCTGCCAAACTTTTCCAAAATGCCGTGACCTTCTCATATGGAACTCAATGTATCTGTCAGTTAATTATTTTTGTCTCAATATTTTTTAAGAAAACTTTCCCCAAACATTTTTTTTTTTGTGGAAGGTGTTATTATAAATTATTATTTATGATAAACTCAGAGAATTTGTTGTCTGGAGAAAAAAAGATGGTGTTTAGATTTTGACTGTCTTCGATATGCACTCTTCTCTCAGCTGACTTCAGTGATTCTTGAAGATATGCTCCATCCTCTGCATGTTTGATGGGCCTTCATACATAACATTTTCTTTGAATTTTATGTCTTGCAGCAGGATTGTGGTATAGGGCATTTTTCAGTCACTTGTGTGTATGGCTGAGGAGAGAGTTGATCCTTTCAGAGTTGATTAAAGGAAGCCACAGTTTCCTTGTGCTGTCATATTGGCAGCAGTGCTCAATTAGGGGATTCCTGTCCACTGCTTTGTGTTCCTGTTTCAGTGGAAATACTCTATTTTAATTCTCCATAGATTCAGTAATGTGGTTTGCAGTGCAGTCTTGCAAACAGCTGTCATCACAGCTGTAGGGTGGAAGAGTAAAAGGTGATGAGGTGTGAGGGGCTGATAGTGTGGAAGAGATACACGAGATGCTGAGGCAAGCATTGTCTGTGTGTGTGAATTTTTCCTTAAAAACATTACTTTCAGGATAAAAATGAATCTGAATATTTATTTTTCACAAAAAGAGAGAAGAAATAAGTTATGTTTTCCAAAATAATTATAGTAAAGATCAGGAACAGTTATTCAGAAGAAATCTGCTACTATAAATTGTAAGAAAATTTATGTGCCGTGTTTTCAGTGTAGCTGCAAGTGGAATGCTATACCATGGTTGTAATTTCTATGAATTTTCACAATTACCTGACAGTTTCTGAAATATGTATTTTTCTTTTAATTAGAAGGTACTGGTTCACCAATAATTACCATCTAAATGGATTAATTTTTGTTTGTGTGGCTTTGGGTTTTTATTTTTACTCTAGTATGCAAGCGTTGAGAAAGATGGTGAGCATTACATGACCCCAGAGGATTTTGTGCAGAAATACTTAGGACTTCATACGGATCCACATCACAATCCTAAAACAGTGCAGCTGTTGGCTGGAGTGGCAGATCAAACTAAGGATGGGTGAGAATTTTGCTATCCATTTGAAACTTGCATTGTTAACTAGTGCATTGTTACATGTGTGAGTGCATGAGTTTGATAAATTCATCTTCTGAAATACATTATTGATTTTATTACACTTTGTACTTATTTAAATGAGAAGATTTTTTCACAAGTGCAATAGACTAAATTTGTGAAAACTGAGACACAATCCTAAAACAGTGCAGCTGTTGGCTGGAGTGGCAGATCAAACTAAGGATGGGTGAGAATTTTGCTATCCATTTGAAACTTGCATTGTTAACTAGTGCATTGTTACATGTGTGAGTGCATGAGTTTGATAAATTCATCTTCTGAAATACATTATTGATTTTATTACACTTTGTACTTATTTAAATGAGAAGATTTTTTTTCACAAGTACAATAGACTACATTTGTGAAAACTGAGAAAAATTACAGTGTTTAACATGGATTTTTTTTTAAGCTGAGATTTATTTTGATTATATTTTGTTAAATTCTACAAAAGCTGAGGAAGTTGAACGGCAGGTAAGTTAAGTGTAGTGTGGTTGCTTTAGAAAAGTTCTCTTCTGTATGTCCACATCCATCATCAGGTACTGTGTAGAGTCTTCAGTACCTGTAATTAAACACAAAAATATGGAAGAGCTTTCTTATTTCTGTAGTGTGCAGTTCAAATCCAACCAC